GAGAAGCTGTAAAGGCAGTCCAGGATCCTGACACAATGGAGACATGACTGAAAACTGCTGGTTTATGAGCTATTGTTTCATGGCTCAGCATTAGTATAATGTCCTTCTGGCCTTTCTCCAATACACACTCAAAATGACAACAAGCAAAAGTCGTGACTGGCCAGCTACTATCTTCTCACCACATCAGGATTCCCAAATGATGGAAGAAAACACATGACGTTAGTGAAGATGGTTTTGTGCCACCAGAGAACTGCAAAGGTGATAGGATTAGGCCCTATCATATAATTTGGTAGCCAAAGTCCAAGCTTTCTTACATCTGTTTATGAACCTTTCAGAAAGAAAACATTTGTGTTCAAAGTAGAATTGATTAGAGTTGGTGTAGAAGAAAGATCAAGCAGCTGAAGGGCACTGTGCTCCATGTAGACTAGGATAAAACACACAACCTGCCAATGACAACAACTGGAAAATACAGAGCAATTTGCCAACTGAAAGGTGTCTGGCAGACAGCACACAAAGAAGTTGAGAGGACAAACACAAGCCATGGTGATGCTGCCCATGGAAATCCTTCCCAGGAAGTCATGAGTATTACTGAACTGACAACTAAGTAAGAGGATGAAAAGCACACGTTGCAATGTAAAATAGCACTCAAGGAAAAAACTTGTGAAAATGGATGACTTTTGGCTGGCTTCAACAGCCAAAGCAGCACGATATTGAGCACTGAGGAATATCTATGTTTAAGGAGGGGAGGGAACAATAATTGGTAAAATTAATTGCTTCTGAAAAGGTGCAATCTAACTTCCCGCTGCAACGGCTATGGCTGCAGACATGCTGGTCCGGGCTCTGCCACGTCACCGAACAGCAGAAGATTAGGTTGTCTGAACTGAGAACTGGCCAAACGCAGCATTGCTTCATTCTGTTGTTCTGGATCCTGAGCAGTGTGTGGCAAAGCTTAAGTGGCTAAAGAAGAGACAAACCACAATTTACAGTTGGGGAGCCATCAGCTTCTGACTCTGGAAATATCTCTGCAAACAGCCTGCATGGAAACTTGAATACCACGGCTGAAGAAACACATTACATGTTTCCATTGCAGTCATCCTGCTGTCATGTGTAAAACAGCAAGTATTACGGTGGAAATGTGCAAGGAGCAACCATTTAATTTATTATGAGATGAAATTCTTAAACTAACATACTATCTAGTTCGGCCTCCTGGGACGATTCACGTCTGATCCCCAGCATCAGCAGCTCATTCGACTTATTTTAGGAGACATGGAATGAAAGAGGTACCGTGCTTTCACAGAAAGTGATCAGTTAGCCTAAAGCAAATTAGTGAGTCAAATCTCCAGATGGCCCTGTGAATCTCAAGCTCATTTACTCGCCAAAGAAAAGTTTCAGTGACGGAGCAGAATAACAAAGCCCCTAATATATCGCAGATCCATTGCACCCAGGCCGTGAAGTTTATATTTCCCTAACAACTTGGAAACAATATCGTGTGTCAGAGCACATGTACTTGTCATTAGCATGAACATTAAGAGGAAATGAACATAAATCCCAGATTCTAATGTGTAGTTTGAGCATCCTGGGACAATTAAATTATTGATAATGGTTATCTGTCACCAAGCAATAAATCATAAAGTCAGGGAGTGGTAGAAGAAAAGCTATCTTGCTGCTGACAGACGTGCAGACTGAAAGATGTGGTGGGCCTTTAAGGTTCCAGAAATAATTACATAAAGGTGAAAGATTTCTTCTTTTGCTTTTTTTCTCATCAACTATAGTATTTCCATACTCAAAACAACACTTTCTCGTGACAACTTTTGTTACTTGGCCTGTATGTTTCTCTGACATTTTAATGAAAATGAGGAACGAAGCTGGAAGTGAGCAGCCGGTGAAAAGCAGGCCTGGCTCTACGGCTGCCAGTTGGAGCATGGGGCTCTGTGCAGAGCCGGGAGCTGCTCCCAAAATTGTGAAAAGTAGCGGATGCTCCCTGCTGATGGTGACATCAATGTACATAAATGGAAATAAACCCCTCTATTACAAGACTGTGAAAATCCAGGAATCGCATAGAGAAAACAAGGAGGGAGCAGTGGGAGCCGATGATGGCAAGTGAACAGGACAGAAGCCAAGCCTCCTTTTTAAGTCACTTAATTTTTGCAGCTAAAATAGGACTCTGTCCTGAATTTGTACATCAAATTGCTCTGCGCTGAATATAACATTGAGCTCCTGTGCTTGCTATAGCCATATTTTCTAGAAGGCTACCGGTTTACGTGGACAAGTACCAGCTGGCGGAAAGCGAAAAGAGTGAAGGCATTTCCCTTCCAGTTGCAGGAGCCGGGGAGTGGGAGCCGGCTGGACCCTGGTTACACATGGTGGGAATGCCAGGCCCGGGCGGCTGTGGCTGCGGCTGCTCGAGTCGGTGCCAGGGCTTGAATAGCCTGGCGGGCACTGCCAGGAGGGGAGTGTGAGCAGCAAAAGGGGACCCAGCTTTGTGAGGATCTCTTTTCAGAGGGCTGCAGTGCTGCGAAACTCAACACAGCCCTGCGGAGAACGTGGAAGCTTTTCAAATGTTCACGCTGTACTGCACCGCTCGGAGAGGCCAGGGATCACATTCATTTATTCATTTTCCAACAACTCAGTCTCTTTGCACCAATTACACGGAATCCACCAGTTTCAGCAAAACCAGATGTATTTCCCAATACTGATCTTTTGCCTGTGTGGTGATCTGTATTGATTTCAGCATTTCTTCTCCTTGTACAGAACTTAAAAATTGCAGGCATGGTAAAGGAAAAGAAAATAGCACAAATAAGTCAGCTTAAGTCTGGGATTAACTGTCTGAGGTCTTAAAATAAAGACTTCAGATCAACTACTCAGAGGCGTAAGGACTACCAGCGTGAGTGAGGGTGGCAAGCTGAGGCCATTTCATTGTCAGGAATGTGACATTTATTGCCCTGACACCTGTATCATAAAGTTAGGCTTACTTTAGAACTTATTCCATTTGAAATCCATGCCAAACAGCCAAGAGTGCCTTGAGAGGTCATATTAAGGACAACAGTTATTGTCAGGGAGTTTTCTTCCCCTCAACAGTTAGAAAAATAAGCCACCATTTAATGCATTTTTCATAAGCAAGACTGTGATAAACTATTTGTATCTACAGCTCCTCTTACAGAAAAGACAAAAATAAAATCAAGCCTCTCTTCCAAATGAATTTGGCAATTAGCATTGATTTGAGAAATACTTTTGGGTATAGCGATGAAGCATATGATAGTACTACAGCTGTGACATCAGTATAATAATATGGATATATCTATTCAAAATAACATGCCAGGCCTATGAGGGCTGGAAAAAACCTAAAATAGCATTTGCTTGGTCACCGGTTGCTGATGGAACTTGTGACAACCCCACAACCATGTTGGTGTTTGCATTGATTAAAAAATTTTACTTGGATTAATATTTTGCTCTCCACACTGTCAGCACCTTTCCATAGTTTGTTTCCCTTAAAATACTCTCTACACCGTCCCGAAGAGTCCAGTGCAATCCTCCTTTTTCAGAATTGCATCATTCTAAAATTAAATTTTAAATGAGCCTCCATGTCTGCTTCAGAGAAAACACAAATAAAAGGTTGGATTTGCGTTATGTCCTCCTTAGAAGCTTCTGTTATCAGTAAAATTAGTTGCCTTGAGTAGCCATGCTCATTAGAAGAAAAATAATGAAAATATAAACTGCCTCCAAAATAAGAAAATTATTATAAAGGGCAGTAAAAAAATCATTCAGAAGTGACTACTTGACAAACACAAGTTATTTAAACATTGGGGTTTTTTTCAGTTTTGTCAGCAGTCTGTGCTTGTAATTAAGACATTACTCCTCTCAGGGAAATGCTTTAGTATTATTTGTTGAGCATGGTACATACAGTGGGTCTGTAGTCTATAATATCAATCATTTTTTATGTAGTTATTGAAAGCAAATCTAATTCTGAATATAATTTTATACAGAAAAATAATGTAACTAAATCAATACAATGTTGCCAGTTTAAAAACAAAAACAACCCACTAAGATAATGTGTAAATGTAAATGTGGTTCTACACTTTTTATTTACAGCTGGTAAATTTAAATTTCAGTTCAACACATGTTAATTAAAACACATTTCACCAGCTACTTATAAAATTAAGCACTCTTTTGTTTGATGTCAGTAAAAACAGGAAATTTGGAGTGATGTCTACTGCTACAGCTGTTTGCAGTCCCCACATAACAACAGATGTGAGATTGATGTATCTGTATTTTGTCCTCTCCTGTGAACTGCAAGTGATCAAACAGGCAAAAACATAATGACAGGATGATTGGACAAGTTTAGCACGAAGAGAATTGTTCAAGACATTCATAAATCACTGCACAACCACACACTCCATGAAGGGAAATCTACTGTAACGTCACAGATGTGCAAAACCATTTATATCTACAATGAATTTCAAATACAAGGGTATTAATTGTGGATAAAGTCTTTGACATACCTTAACTGAGAGTCTTTTGAAAGATGTAATATTAAAAGTCACATAAAACTAGGTGCGAGTGTTTTATAAAACCTGGACACAACAAACAGATAATGTAAAAACAAACATAATTTTCCACAGATTTATTTTTGTTACTAAATTATCCTCATATAAATGAGCTCTGCTACGAAATACAGATGCTAGAAGGAGTAATGATGTATTTAAATGTAGCTGTATTGCAAAACAAGTGTGTTCCTAAAAGCTGCTACAGCATCAGCCATACTTCGCTTTTTCTGCTGCCAGAGCCAATCTGCGAATGTTTGCTATGCAACCAGCTGCTGCCTCCTGCAGAGTTTCATCTGTAGAGCCTACCATAGCCAGCAGGAGCTAGTGAAAATACAAAAAAGAAACAGCATAAGAAAAACAATTAAGAATGCTATTATTTAAATAATACTTAAATAATATCTACAACAATTGCCTGAATTTGCTCACATGCATAATAAATAAAATATTAAAAATCATATTAACAACACTATATTACATATGTATGTATACTTCTGTACACCTATATGTATTAACATACACATAGAGTACACCGCTTTATATTTTATCATGTTCATACCTATAATTTGATATTTTCATGTCTAATTTTCTGTTTATTGTATCACACCTGTCTATTGGTTGTGACTTGGATTTTTTCTTGTAAGTAGAAATTGCATATGCTTTAATTGCAGTCATGGTTTCCCTCCCAGGTACACTAGTATACTTGTACACGCTCAAGATTTTTAACAAACAAAGCCATATTTTTTTTATTTTTTTGGCCGTGATCATGAAACTGGATCCATGTGAATAGACCCTCATGTCCCACCGTCTGCAGCAGGCTTCTTTATTGTCACAGCAAACCACACAGGTCAAACTGTTTGAGGGATACAGATCTGGGCATACAATTTGCAACCATTTGCACACAGAAGTAAAAAACAAAAGCTTGAAAAAGGCGCCAAACTTTTGGAGCTGATTCAGCTTTTCGGTCTTGTGGAGTAGATCCTTTACACTGGAAGTCATTCAATTTTTTCAGTGGAAACTCCCTCGGAGTAAGGTATTGTTCAACACAAGTAAGACATAAGAGAAGCCTTCATGATAAAACTTTTTACATATCAGAAAACCATTAATAATGGGTTTGGATCTCACTTCCTCGGTGTGTTACAAGTCAGTGATGCAACTGCAAATGCAATATATGCTGGAAAACAGAAGACTCTTGCTTAGCTTAAAGCAGCTCCATGCAATCCTCAGATTTCTGAAAATCTGCCAAGCTTAATGGGCGTTCAGGTATTTTGAAGCTCAGACAGCTCTAATTAAAACCTGTATTTTCAGTCTGCAATACTTAGGATTCTGTGTTCACCCAAACAATGTTGAGTCAAACCACAGAGAAATCTGTTATCACTCAACTCTGGTGCATATTTTTCATACAGCTAAAATATTACACAAAATTATGAACTGCTAAATATAAAAGCATAAATTGAATGCAGACCAAGTTCCTATGCTACCTTTTTCTAACCTTCCAGCGATCATGAGGCATGAGCCACAGCTGCACACATATGGCATTTGCTTGCAGAGATCAAAGCATTTTATACTTGAGGAAGTATTTGTGTTAGCCAAATGTACAAAACAAGCATCTTGCCTGTCCCCTTTCACCCTTTGACCCCCACATGTAACTTGTAAGGGTGCCTGTGATGGGCCTGAATTATGTCAAAAAAGAGTATTATGTATATTAAGCATCAATGATTTTTTTTTCCAGCGGTTCTCCCTATGATTTCCATTAATGTAATCAGACACCTACGTACAAATAGCTAGATAAGAATTCTTAAAATGTGAACACTCCTAAAAGCATATGCCGGAGTTAAAATGACATGAGAAGAAATGATATGAGAAAGCTTTATATTCTTACACCTTATTTGTATGCAAATCTTGGGTCAGGGGCAGCAACCAGAGACGTCAGTGGAAGGTTCCCCACTGACTTCACCCGGCAGGAAGACGCAAGCAGCACATCTCCGTGTGGCGATACAGCTGCTCGACAAAGCACAAAGGCCTGAATGCAAGTCTTGTCAGATGCTCCACTTCTTTTTTTTTCTTAAGAAATATTGCTGGATTAAGATCTTTCTTCCTTGCTATTTTCCACCAGCTGATTTCTCATCAGCTTAAACTATAAAGTGTTTCTTTGGGTGCCTCACAACTTTCTTGTATAACTTACAGAGGAAAACTGGTATAGATCCTTCGTATCCCTGACTCAAAACCAAAAATATGTATGCACATACCATTCATATGGTGGGTCTGGTAAAGCCATAAGTTTCAAATTTGGGGGAAAGGAGCTATGTGCCTTATGTGATTATTCACTGCATCTTCACAGACCTAGTGGAAGGCTTTTTCAGCGTAGTGAGTGTGGAACTCAAACTTTCATAATAATTTCAGCATAAGATTTGTTATCAGTCTGTAAGAGCAGAAGTTCATCACAAAAATAATGTTTTTGAGATACGTTATCTAGTAGAAATATAACAAAAAGCAAATATAGACCTTTGCCTTTATTATGACTACATGTTAGGTAGGACTCAATTCAAGGTTATTTATTTCTTTTAGCCAACACTTATTTCTAGGCTCAGAAAACTTAGGAAAATAGAACATTTTTCAGCCACTTTCCATGCAGAGCTCAGTATTAAGCAATAACAATAGTAGTAGAGGAGGGAACTGTGCTCTTTATTGCAGGTGCATTTTAGAAAATCACGGTTACGTATCAAAGAACAGCCTACTACATGACCCTGTTTAAAAGTACTCAAATAGATGTCTAAAGAATTAGTGGTATGAATATAACCAATGCAAAAAGGATTTCTTATAAAGGTATCAAATATTGATTTTTTTTCTCCTCCTTTGTTCGGGACACCAAGGATCAGATCCTCTCCAATTTGTTGTTCTTCTAAATCACTTGCCAGTGGTAACATCCGTAAGAACTGCCGCGTTATACAAAATCCTGTACTACACTGTGCCTCAGGATTTTCACAGCAAGACTTCAAAGAACATTCTTGGAAACACAGTCTAATACAGTAGCTGCCTCTGAGGACTGAGGATATACAGCAACATTTGTCAGCCAGCCTACTCCTTTTGTGCTAACAGAAAGGCAGCTGAAGAGAAGATTATCGAAAATGCAAAATATTTCAATGTAAGTAGGTAATTCCGTATTTAGGAATATACCTTTGAAGATTTTAATATAAATCTGGCCTTAAATGAAATAAAATTTTATTCTTTTTGTATGTACCAAGAAAGTTATAATTCTTTCACTTCCTGACTGCCACTCTTTGACCCTTTCATGGGTTCAGTTCAATTTACTGGCAATTTGGGTCTTCCAGTTCAGGTATGGAAATGTATTCATAGCTAGTACACACAGATCATACCCACATATTAGATATATTTGACAAGTCCAGGAAAACTTTTTTTTATTCCAATACACTAGTGCAATATAACATGTCCTTTTTCTTGACGCAATGCCCTTGAACTTCATGTATCCCTTCCCTTTACTGTTCAGGTATTGTTTTCTGACACATGTAAATGTTAACAGATGTGAGAAGCAGTAAAAAAGCATGCGGTATAAATGCTTCTTTCTGGCACATAAGAGGCACTTTCCATAGACAGAGAAAGCATTTGCAGCACTATGTAGCCTTCATTTTCTGTTGGCAGGTATCTATGTTTTAAGGCGAGAGTCCAGAATTTTTTGCACAGTTAGCACGTCATACCAGCAAATAAGCACAAATACAAGCTGTTTGGAGAACGTACAGAGCATATGTAGCATTTTTGAGTTCCAAAAGCAAGTGCAATGCACAGCCAAATCATTTAAATATTCAGAACAATTAAGATTTTGCTACTACTATCCCAGCTTTAAAATAGCACAGAATTGTGATACTATATTAGGATTGCACAATCATAGAATAATTCAGAATGGAAGGGATCTCAGGAGGTCTCTAGTCCAACATCATGCTCAAAGCAGAGTCAGCTACAAGGTTAGACCAGGTTGCTATGCGTTTTATCCCGCCTGATCTTGAAAACCTCCAGTGACGGAGACAGCGCAGCCTCTTTGGGCAATGTGGTGCTTGACTGTTCTCATAGAGAAAAAGGTTCTCCCTACATTCAGTCACTCTTGTTTCAGCTCATGCCTGTTGTCTCTCATCCTCTTGCCACGCACTCCTGTGAAAAGCCCAGCTCCATCTTTTTGATGACTGACCTTGTAGGTACTGGAAGGCTGCTATTAACTCTGCTTGAAGCTCTCTCTTCTCCAGGCTGAAAAAGCCTAGCTTCCTTAGTTTCTCCTCACAGGGTAAGTGCTCCTGCTCTGATCATCTGATCATCTTGGAGTGTCAAAGCTGGGTACAGCATTCTAGGTGTGATCTACGGAGTACTAAGGGGAACAATCACTTCCCTCAATCTCCTGGCTGCGCTCCTGCTCAAACAGCCCAGTATTGTGTCTTCTTTGCTATTAGGAAACACTGCTAGCGAACGTTCCACTTGCCCCCTACCAAAATCTCTATGCCCTTTTCAGTAAAACTGCTCGTCAGCCAGTCAGTCCCTAGCCTGTATCACTGCAAGTGCAAGCCCTTCTCAGGGGCAGGACTTTGCATTGCTCCTTCCTGAATTTCACAACATTCCTGTTGGCTGGCTCCAGCCCTGCCTATGTAGCTCTGAATGGCAGCCTTTCCCTGAAAGGGAAAACTGAAAAGACTGAAAGAAGACCGAAACTGTCCCCCGGCCCAACTGGTGATAGGTGTCATCGCAAACTTTATGAGTAAGCAGTCCACTGCCTTCCCCAGGTCACTGACAAACATGTTAAATGGGACAGGGGACAGGTCCCAACAGAAAGAGCCCTTCGACACTCCCCTAGTCACCAGCCTCCGGGTACAGTACAACCCATTAACTACGACCCTCTGAGCTGGATTATCCAACTGTTTTTAATCCATTTGGTTGTTCACACATCTGGAATGTAATGCATCCTAACTTGGACAGAAGTACGCTGTGGGAAACAGTGTTGAAAACCTTGCTAAAGCCAAGGTAGATGACATCCACTGCTCTCCTCTCATCTAAAAACTTAGACCATAGAGGGCAATCAGGTTTACCTTTGGCAAATCTATGTTGCCTGTTCCACATCTTCTCCTCCTTGAGCACAGAAATGTATTCCAAGAAGACTCCCTACATAATTTCCCCAGAGACCAATGTGAGGCTGACCAGTCTGTACTGCCCCAGACTGGGAGGAGGAATTGTTGCTCTGAAGACATGCTTTGCAGACTCTTATTGTTGGGTCTTACGCTTTCTGACATACCAAAGGGATAATAAGAATGGTCTTTTGTTCCTCA